GTGTTTATGAAAGGAACAGAAACCACGAGAATCTGTTCTTCACACTGGAAGGTGGGTGTTTGATTAGATTACAAAAAAGGCTAAACCACTTGTAAGGACTGACAAGTATGCACACCAAACCAAAGAACCCAAGATTAGTCAACAAAATAAACACAGTTGCTTTTAGAAAGAAAATAAAAAGGATCCTTCAGAAAAAAATAATATGCTCACAATAGTACTGTTGGAAAACATCTAGCCTGCATGTATCACCTAAAGCACAGATTTTTAACTTATTCCTCAATTTAGGGACTACTAAGCTGAAATACAGATGCATGCAGATCACATAACACATTTAGCCAGTTCCAGGAGGGAAGAAAGCAGAAAAAAAAAATCCTCATCTCTTTTTAAACTTGTTTGTGTTATAAAGAATTACTCTCTCCCCAAGGGCGGCTGGAACTAAAATCCTGGTTTCCTGATTCAAAATGCATTTTCCATCTAAATCTTGGAAATAAGTAAAAGAGCAGCTGGAAACAAAATTAGATCATAACATATAAAGCTCCAAGTTTCTGAGATGAATATAAAGAATCTCATGCCTAGTTTAAGTAACTATTTAGTAGACCAAGCACTGGTATAAGTAGCAAGATGTCACGCACACATCTTTCTTCACTGTAAGTGCTCAGGTTGTGAATACACTATACACAAAGATAAAATACCTTTTTAAAAAAGCACCAACGTGTCCTCACATAATCTTCTTCCCCTTTAGTCTATTAGGCACTTACACTATCATGTCTTTCAAGGGAACAAAAGATCTATGTTCACGTAAACACATGAGAGTTAAGAAGACATGCTTGCTATAAGGTCCGAGTCTAATTTTTTTTTTCCTTTTTTTCTTTTTCGAGGCAGGGTTTCTCTGTAGCTTTGAAATCTGTCCTGGGACTCACTCTGTAGACCAGGCCGGCCTTGAACTCACAGAGATCCACCTGCCGCCTCTGCCTCCCGAGTGCTGGGATTAAAAGCGTGTGCTACCTCAGCCCGGTGGATTCTAAAAAGTTTTAAGTATCTGGCAACTCAGGAGTTCTCCTAGGCTCGGTTTTTAAAAATAATTTCTTTTTGTTTATACTTATAACATCCGAGTGTCTGCCACATATGTGCAGGTGCCTGAGGTAGTCTAAAGAGGGACTTGGAGTCCCAGGTGGTGGTGATCTGCCCAAGTTGGGTGTTAGAATCCCAATTTAGGTCCTCTGGAAAAGCAGCAAGTGCTCTTAACTGCTAAGCCATCTCTCCAGCTGCCAAATGTTTGCTCACGTATCTAATAGCTACAGTGCAAACTAGGTGATGGTTAGCCTTTAGTTTTCTTAAGGCTTTTTTTTTTTTAATATTTATTTATTTATTATGTATACAATATTCTGTCTGTGTGTATGTCTGCAGGCCAGAAGAGGGCACCAGACCTCATTCCAGATGGTTGTGAGCCACCATGTGGTTGCCGGGAATTGAACTCAGGACCTTTGGAAGAGCAGGCAATGCTCTTAACCACTGAGCCATCTCTCCAGCCCCCTTCTTAAGGCTTTTGTTTTGTTTTTATTCTAGAGATAAACTCTTGTTGTGTAGCCCAGGCTAGCCTAGAATTAAACAAACAACAAACCTGCAACCTGCCTGGCTCTGCCTCTCAGTGTAGGGATTAAAGACAGGTTCTCCCATGATTGGTCAATGGACTGTGCCTCCTTGGGCCTGGAGAGGTGGGTCGATGGTTAAAAACACTTGCTACTCTTCCAGATGATCCATGTTCAATTCCCAGCACCCACATGGAAGTTCATGACCTTAACTCCAATTCCAGGGCGTCTGACCCTCTCTTCTGGTCTCCTCAGGTATCGAACTTTCCCAAAATCGGGTGAGGTCATACCAAGGGAACCAAAGTTTTAAGAAGTCTCACAAGTACTCTGACTTTAAATCAGTTTCCTATGAAGTCAGTTGATGATGTTGAAGATGGAGAAAATAACAACCCACTAGATAGGTTATGGTTTCTGTGTACATTTTCTCTCTTCCTCCTTCCCTACCTTGCTTCTTATGCTTAATTTCTTGTCTCCGCAACCCCAGCTTTTTTTTTTTTTCTGAGAAAAGGTCTCACTATGAGAACTTTGGCAGAAACTTAAAGAGATCTGCCTGCCTTGGCCAACACACACACAAACACACACACGCACACAGTGTGCCGGCATCTGTTTTTAAAAGCAGGGTCTCAAATAGTTCAGCTGGCTTAGAACTCACCCTGTAGCTGTGAATGACCCTGAAGTCCTGATCCTTCTGCCTCTATTTCACAAGTGCTGGGGTTACACAATGCCTGTTTTATGCATAGCTGGTAATGGAACTCAGGGCTTCCTGAATATTATGCAAACAGTCTATGAACTGAACTTCATGCTAACCTGAAAACTCAGCTCCATTCAACACATTTTAATTGCTTACTGCTGAGAAACAATTAGGAGGAAGCACCTGGCTGATGAAGCACCCTTGAAAAAATAAAGCCCCTATAAGGCTCCAAGGGTAGCACAGCAGAGTTACCTAAATGAATGTTCTAGAGTATATTCTTACTAGATGAATATCTTATCTAAAGCATTTGGAAGCTTTCATGTTTAACAGTGAAAATAAAGAAATTTTCTACCAGAATGTAGTATTTCTTTCTGAAATGGAAAACAACCCCAGTTTCAAACAGTTCTATAGGGAACTATATACAAGAACTTTAACTTTCCTTAAAGAGAGGTTGAACTTAGCCAGGTGGTAATGGCACATGCCTTTAATCCACCACTATGGAGGCAGAGGCAGGCAGATCTCTTGTGGGCCTGAGGCCACCCTGATCTACATAGAGCTAGTTCCAGGACAGACTCCAAAGCTACAGAGAAACCCTGTCTCAAAAAACCAAAAGAGAGGGGAAGGAGAGGAGAGAGAAGAGATTATGTCATTCTCTAAAGTTTTGTCTTTGTTTTTGGTGGGACTGGCAACATACAATAGTTTTAGGGGTAGGTTAGCTTGGCCAGAAAGACCATTTTTTTACACGACATAGGATAGAGAACTAGTCACCTGAAGAGTAGATTCAACCACAGGCATACTCTAGACTCTGTTATAGCATCTCCATGCCTGGTTTTTATGTGGAACTCTGCCCTGCTTAAGCCACAACTACTGGCTGAACTTTCTTCAGTGCGTTCTTACTTCTTTTAGAGAATTGAACTCAGCTCTTCTGTAAGAACAGTAAGTAGTCTAAGTACTGAGCCATCTCTAACATTCATGCTCTATTTTAAATATTTATCCACATTTTGCTTTGGGAAAAAATGAATTGTGACATTAACTATTAAAAGCATTAAAGAATAATAAAAATAAAAGTACTTTGTTTTTTAGACAAGGGCTTTGCTATGTAGTCCAATCTAGCCCTGAACTTTTCTTCCTACCGTCTCTTATTCTCAAGTGTGTGATTACAAGAATATGCCCAGGGGCTGGAGAGATGGCTCAGTGGTTAAGAGCATTGCCTGCTCTTCCAAAGATCCTGAGTTCAATTCCCGGCAACCACATGGTGGCTCACAACCATCTGTAATGAGGTCTGGTGCCCTCTTCTGGCCTGCAGGCATACACACAGACAGAACACTGTATACATAGTAAGTAAATAAATAAATATTTAAAAAAAGAAAAAAGAAAAAAAAAAGAATATGCCCAGCAAGTTTTTCTTTAGGTTAAGTCTTTAAATGTTAAATTCATTTTACATATTAACTACATTTCCCCCCTCCTCCCACTTCCCCCTGCCTCTATCCACTCCTCTGAGAGAGAGCCTTAAGCCTCCCATGGGGAGTCAACAAAATCTGGCATATCAAGTTGAGGCAGGACCAATCCTCTCCCCCCTATATGGAGGCTGAGTACAATATTCCACCATAGGGAATGGGCTCCAAAAAGCCAGTTCATGCACCAGGGATAAATCCTGGTCCCACTGACAGGGGGCCTACAAAAAGACAAAGTTACACATCTGTCACCCACATTCAGAGGGCCTAGGTAGGTCCCTTTAAAGATGCCTGGATCGTATCTACACTATTACTTTATAGTTCTGTTTTTTTAAGACACAGTTTCATTATATAGCTCTCGTTGGCCTGGAACTTGCAGTATAGAACAAACTAACAGAGATCTTCCTGCCTCTACCTCCCAAGCGCTGGGATTAAAGGTGTGGACCACTAAACTCATCAGCCTCTACTTTAGTTTTTCAAAATTAAATTTAATATAAAGTTTCATTCAGTAAAAATTTTTGCTATTACAAATTTATAAAATCAAACTTATTTTTAAAAACTATTTCCACACTCCTTTTTTTGTTTGTTTGTTTTGTTTTGCAACAAGCATCTCACTATGTAACTCTGGCTATCTTGGATTGTGGAACTTAGTACAGAACAGAGTACTACTCTCACTGGGTAGACCGGCCAGCCTCGAATTCACAGATATCCATCCGCCTGCCTCTGCCTCACAAGCGTTGGTATTAAAGGTGTAGACCACAATGTCTGGCTGTTTTCCCACTCTTATGAACTAAAATAAAGGAATTAAAAACTAAAGGACAAAACTTAAAAATAATTTGGGTTAAAACTTACTTTACATATAAATTTCTAATGTGCTAATTATAGTAGGAGAACAAAATCCTTAGTTTTCATTGAATTAACAACAAAGACTGGTTTGGTGGTCCATTTTTCAAAAGTGTTTTATATACCAGAAAAGCACAGAAACAAAAGTATGATTTAAAAAATATATCATTTCTATAAACTAATATTCGCTAAAAGATTAGTGCTTAATATACAAGGTAAAAGAGATCGGGACTCCAGTGTGCTGCAGCAGCCAGCCCTGGTGCCGCAGTTTCAAACATCTTCAGCACATTCTCTCATACAACACCCTGCATTTCACCCCAGAGGAGGAATGCTGGCAAAGATATGCACCACATGGGATCTGCTGTTGGATTCCACCACATGGAATTTAAGCTGTTGGGCCCTGAAACTTTATTCAGCAGTTGGAAACCATTCCACAGCGTTGCTCCTTCACCCTCCCACTTGGGACTAATGCACAGGCATGAGCACCTATTGAAGAAAACCACACAGGACTTCAACCAGTGACTACGGTAGGCTTGTTTCTCACATATTAATTTAAATACTGTGTGTTAAAGTGTGATTCTAAAAGTCTTAATAAATGTAAAGTCATTTGTAGTGTTTAATTTTCCTTGAATAATTAATTTTCAGCAATACTTTCATATCATTTTATAACTTTAACATTGATGTAAATAAGAACTGGAAGTTACAAACCCATTTTATTTTGAGATTTCAAATCCTGGCTATCTGACAGACTGGCATCTGCAGTGCAGCATCAGCACCTCTCAGCGACTGTGTGTACTTAAAAGCTGTCTGAAACGTGTACTCAGCAGTTAAAGATCACTGGTGAACCTCAAAGAATCTTTCCAGGACATTCTCCAAAGTTCCTCCCTTAAAGTTTATGTGACCCTAGTCTGCAGTGGTACTGCTGCACTGTTCATAGTTTAAGCTTTAAAAGGCAAGATTACTAATTAAACAAGATAACCCGCTACATTTACAAAACTAGAGAAACTTTTATTATACACCACTTAAAAGTGTTACTGTCTACTTTTTATGATGTTAAACTTAAGGTTTAAGTTTTAATCCTTGCCTCAGACTGCTTCTTTTACCTCAATATGGATCAAGAGTTCCTTTAAAGCAGCAATGTTGAAATATGATATTTTTAACTCCACATGACACAGGATCATGGATCTTTGTGTTAACCATTTATATTGCAGGTATCCCAAGAAGACTTTGACTGCATACAAATACCCCTATTCAAGGCATTCGATTGTTAGTAAACCTAGCAATAATTCTTAAATTTCTTGATAGGTAAGAAATAAAACTACTTTCTGAATTTTTCAGAATCTTCACTGGCACATAAAAAACTGTTAGTATCTAATTAAGAACCGCTAAGGGTTAAATAGTTGTTCTCTATCCCCTACTGCATACACAGTGCCAAAATATTCTCCAAGCTTTTAAATATTGCTTCGATAGTCTGCAGTTTTATTTCCAGGGGGGAAAAAAAGAGCTTTTGTTCCACAGCTATCAGGTCACTAGTTACTTCCAGTCGCTGTGAGTTTGCTGAAATGAAGACTGTGCATTCTACACTTCTCCTGCTACTGCTGGTGCCTCTGACACAGCCAGCACCACAAACTCAACTCGACTCACATATTAACTATGAGTATGGAACAGATCATTTGGAAGAAACAAAATTTAGCCAGGACTATGAAGATAAACACCTGCATGGAAAAAATACTAAGGTATTTTATTTCTACTTTAAATTTATATTCTAAAATGATACTCATTTAAATGCATATCTTCCCTTAATTTCAATATTTGATAAGGAAAGGAGAAAGGCATTTTAATATTTAAAATAATTGTATTTTTCAGATATACTTGATTCTTCAATTAACAAGTAGTACCAAATGGTAAACAAAAAGTAGCTAGAGAAATAAAAAATTAAAATTTAAAACATTAAGACTCTGATAGCAGCAATTTATGCTAAATAATGCTGCATAATATCCTATAGCTGCATGTTATATTGCCTCAAAAAAAATTAAGAAAAGATAAATTATCAGCTTATGTTTACAGAATTCAGAAAAATACAGTCCAAGGAAGTAAACATAAAAATATTTATTGGTTATGCATGCCAATTACATAGAATACCAACAAGTAAAAAACTACAATTATTATAGGGATTTGTTTTTAACCACATTTAAGTTTAGACTCTACTGATTTATACCAAAGATCTGTAATGACATGCCACTGAGTTATGGTTTTTATACCACAATGATACAACCTTCAAAGCAAAGCAATTACTTGTAGTTTTTTTCTGGGTATACAGAAATACTGGGAGGAGAGGAAGTTAACATAGCATAAAACTATATGCTGCCCACTGTGTGTGATGCACACATACACTGGAAAATTAGAGTCAGATACTTAATAATATTCATTGCTTTAAAAGTTCTTTTTTACCACAAATCAGAGAGTTAAGATTTTAAGATTAACCAGTCCAAATGCTTTCCCCTCCTAACTCACAATGAGCTAATGTTAATGCTACAGTTTCTTTTTTCCAAAGGAATGAGTTAAGATGCTAGTATTATTTCTACCTACGGTTATGACAAAACAGACAAATTTCTGTATCAACAGTTTCAAATTAAAAATCAAACAAAACCAAAAAGGTTATAACCTATTGTCTTACTGGAATGATCTGAGTCTATCAACTAACTGCAAGATACTTTCAAAATTCCTTAAACCTTAGAGCTTTCTGCTTAACTACATGGAGCTTTAAGCAGTTTTCCATCAATATAAACGTGTGGGCCAATATTTGTGTGAAGTGGAGAACTCAATGGGGTAGAGTGATGTTTAGGCAGTGCACAGATGGGAAAATGAGGGTTAACGGCAAGGTCAGGAGCCCACAGAGAAAACATGGAGCAAGCGGGGAGGTAGAGGGAATAGTACCCATATAATAAATTATAGTCTACTAGCAGAAAACACATTCTCTGGAAAGAGGACAGAGATGAGATGACAATCCCCAGTTATACAGTGTTAACAGCCTATACCAATGGCCTGATCAGGTAAAGAAGCAGGATAAAAGGATCCATCCTAAGGCCAAGGCAGGATGCCAGAAGAATTTATTCAGTACTTTATGTTCTACAGCTATGCTGTTGCTCAGAAAGATTGACACCGAGAAGAGGAAATCAGTTCATATAAAGAATGATAAAGAATAGTTCCACATATGAAAAACTTTCATTCACATTCAGAGAACTATCTCCTAACCTCACACCTAGAAATTCAATATATTAAATATTTATCAAATATTGAGTTCAGTCCATGAAAACAAAAAAAGCTGATTCTCTTACTCAGGAGTGCATATCCATCCTACCTAGAGTAATGACAGTGTAATTTAATGAATAATGAAATGGAATTATGTATAAAATCTTAATGGAGGGCTGAGATAGCTTGTCACATACAGTCTCTTGCAGCCATAAAACCCCTAGGCCCATATAGTGGAGAGAACTAACTTCTACAAGTTGTCCTTTGTTTAATATGTATGTCACATACATATAACATGAATACATATATACATACTTATATATACAGACATACACATATAAAACAAAATTTTGATGAAATACATTTACCAATGACTATGAGGAATGCTTGAGATCCTTCCAGTTTACAGGCAGATTCCTGTCTTATTACACCTGATAACAAATTTCTAATTTTACAATAGGAAAAGGAAACCATGATAATTCCTGATGAAAAAAGTCCCCAGTTACAAAAAGATGAGGTTGTACCATCATTACCCACCAAGAAAGAAAATGATGGTAAGTATGAACAATCTATCATCTAGTAGTTTTGTCTTTTTATTTTGTTTTCTGAAGACAGGGTTTCTCTGTGTAATAGCCCTAGTTGTCCTGAAACAAGCTCTTGTAGACCAGGCTGGGCTCGAACTCAGAGATCTGCCTGCCTCTGCCTCCCGAGTGCTGGCACCAACACCAGCTGGCCATCTACTATTTTTGAAAAGCATCTTTTAAAAGATACATACAAAGACATTTTATTCCTTGTTGTAATCAAAAGTTGTCTCAAGGCATATATACTGAAATTTCCTCTTCAATGGTAAAGTCATTATGGCTACATCAGACGTGCTCATTATCTACCATTGTACACTGTGAGGGAAAACTGTGGACTAGAAAACATTCAAGAACATTCAGCAATTTGTCTAAACCTATCCATTTAGAAAACGTTTATTTTTGTTCACATAAAAAATAAATTCAAAAGCCTGGCATGGTGGATTTATTAATCCCAGCATTTTGGAGGCAAAATAGACAGACCTCAATGAGTTCTAAGTCAGTCTGTTTATGTAGCAAGTTTCAGGTTAGCAAAGAGTACATAACAGGCCTTGCCACAAAAACAAATCAATTCAAGAAAGAATTAAAGGTTATTTTTTAAGTACAACCAATAGACTTACAACCAATATAATACAATCAATTATTATCTTCAAGACACTTGGGGAACCCAGGGATGTGGTGGCATACTGTGCGAAGCCTTAAATTCAATGAATAGCACTTTAGAAAGCAGGAAGCAAGGAAATGCAAAGTAGAGAAACATGACTCTATATAAATATCTACAATGTCTGCTTCAATTAAAATAACAGGAATATTACTGCAAAAGAACAAGCTACAAGCCATACTGTACAGTTCTTATATTTGATTTATTCTTGTTAAATAACATAACATGGTTTCACATGAAAGCATGAAAAAAATCCACCCACACCAGTTCCTGTCTTGTAAAATAAAGTTAAAATGAACTAAAACAGAAAACACATCCTCAAAGTCTGGCAAGTATTTTAGTAAAAATGGACTTAAATAATTGAAAAGACTCCTTTTCTTGGAAAGAATGCCTCATTATCATAAAATATCATTATTTTCTAAATTCAGAAAAAAAAGACAACCCCACTAAAATTACTAAATTTTCAATAATGCTAGGGAAGTGGATTCTAAAATGCTTATAGATACATAAAGGAACAACGAGAGTACAGTTGTGGAAACACTGAACAGTGCCATACAAAACACATTTAACATGTTGGGGATACTAGCAGAAGAACAAAGACTGTGGACACAGAATCAAAGAGTAGACACAAACAGAAACACAAAGACATTTAGTATATAATTAAAGCAAGAAAAAGTACTCAAGCACTCAACCACTGAGGCAGAAAATTTTAAATAATTGAGTGTAGGAGAACTAGATAGCCATTTGGAGGGAGATAAATTAGATCCATTTTCATAAAAAGAAAAATAAACATAACCATGACCAAGGATCTAAACAAACAAGATGGGACTGGAGTGATGGCTCAGCAGTTAAAAGCACTGGCTGTTCTTCGAAAGGAAACAGGTTCAATTCCCAGCACCCACATGGCAGTTCACAACTGCCTGTAACTCCAGTTCCAAGGGATCTGGCACCCTCACACAGACATACATTCAAGCAAAACTCAATGTACGTAAAAAATGAAAAGAATCTTAAAAAACAAATAAACAAGCTGGGTGGTGGTGGCACACACCTTTAATCCCAGCACTCAGGAGGCAGAGGCAGGTGGATCTCTATGAGTTTGAGGCCAGCCTGGTGTAGAAGAGCTAGTTCTAGGAGAGGCTCCAAACTGCAGAGAAACCCTGTCTCGAAAAACCAACCAACCAAACAAACAAACAAACAAACATACAAGACAAAGTCTTACAAGTAGTAGCAGACAGTTTGGGAGTGGGATGGCTCAAAACCCAGAAATTTCAACAAAAAACATTTTAAAAATTACTTCATAAAACTACAGAAAATAAAAAACTTTTTTTTCAATTTTATTTTATGTACATTAGTGTTTTGCCATGGGTTTTGGATCCCCTGGAACTGGAGTTACAGACAGTTGCGAGATGCCATGTGGGTCCTGGGCACTGAACTCGGGTCCTCTGGAAGAGCAGTCAGTGCTCTTAACCACTGACTGAGTCATCTCTCCAGCCCCAAGAAAAAACTTTTACATCATAGCAAGAACCATTGTTCATGCAAATATACACAAAACAGAAAAATAAACAATATTTTTAATTTTTTATAAGAATATATTTGGAAGACTATTAACAAAATGACTTTAAAGTGACACTAAATACATGAAAAGATGTTCAATCTCACTTTTAGTTAAAAAATAAAAATGAGGGGTCTGGCTCAGCGGTTAAGAGCATTGCCTGCCCTTCCAAAGGTCCTGAGTTCAATTCCCAGCAACCACATGGTGGCTCACAACCATCTGTAATGAGGTCTGGTGCCCTCTTCTGGCCTGCAGAATATTGTATACATAATAAATAAATATTTAAAAAAAATAAAAATGAAAATTACACTGAAATTCCATCCTTAACCTGATTTTAAAAATTGAAGACAAATTATCAACATATAACATGATCAAGATTGTATAATAACAAATATTTGAATATACTGCAAGAAGAAATGTGAATTAATACAACACTTCTAGACAGGAATGTGACAGTATCTAACAAACTAAAATAGATTTACTTGTTACTTTTTTTAGGGGGCGAGCAATGCTTGAGATCAAAATCAAGGCCAATCGTGTGCAAAGGAAAGCACTGCTACTGAGCTACATCCTAAGCCCTATATTTACTTTTCAACGCATTTTATAAATTTTACTCTGAAGACCCATATCCAAAATAAAAAATACAAATGTAAAACACTAAAGTACTATTGGCAATTACAAAATACTACAAATAACTCAACAGCCCAAACAATGAAAGAATGATGGCACAGCCACCCCCAAGGAATACAATGCTGTTATAAAAAGAACAAGGAAAGGCTAGGGCTGTAGCTCAGCTAATAAAGTGCTACCTTAACATTCAGGAAACCTTGGGTTTGATCCCCAGCATCCACTACTGTTCACAGTAGTAAATCCTTGCAATTTCAGAAATATGAAATGTAAAAGTAAGGGGATCATAAATTCAAGCTCATATTTGATTATACAGCATTTCAAGCCAGCCAGACTATCTAAAAAAAATAAATAAATAAAATAAAGCAAAATAAAAGAACAAAAAAGTGAAGAAGACCTATAAGAACATGGAGTGATGTCCAGAATACAAGTATGCAAAAAAAGGAAACCATAACAGACTATTTCTAACATGTTGCCTTCATATAAAAAAATATCATTTTATAGCCGGGCGGTGGTGGCACACACCTTTAATCCCAGCACTCGGGAGGCAAAGGCAGGCAGATCTCTGAGTTCGAGGCCAGTCTGGTCTACATAAACTAGTTCCAGGACAGTCTTCAAAGCTACAGAAAAACCCTGTCTTGAAAAACCAATATATGGCCGGGCGATGGTGGCGCACGGCTTTAATCCCAGCACTCGGGAGGCAGAGGCAGGCGGATCTCCGTGAGTTCGAGACCACCCTGGTCTACAGAGCTAGTTCCAGGACAGGCTCCAAAGCCACAGAGAAACCCTGTCTCGAAAAACCAAAAAAAAAAAAAAAACCCAATATATGTATGTATATGTATATATATGCATATATATATGATTTTATAAAAGAAAATTTTAATAAAAATACTTTTTTATTAAACAGCTTACATACAGATGTTAATTTATGTTAAAAGAAACACAGAAGAGGGAATTTTCTAAAAACTGAGAAGGATTAAAGATTTGGCTAAGTGGTAGAGCACTTGCCTAATATGCGTGAGGCTCTGGATTAAATTTGGAAATTTAAGGCCAGTTACATCAAGGAAATAAGTGAAATCATGAGTAGAAGTGAGGGAGAATTGGGATGTGATAAAGTTCTAGTTGTGAGTATATAATTTTTATGTAGTCTTAATTTTCAGAATATTGTTTCATATAAGCAAAAAACCACATGTAAATAAAGTCAGTAAAGACAAACTTATAAAAACAATAGAAATATAAGCATTAAAACAGTTAATTATATTGTGAATTCATAACATAGTAAAGAAAATAAAAATCTAATGCAACTAAATCTTAAATGTAGTATTTCGATTATAAACCTTGAAGTTAAAGAAAAGCAAATCAGAAGCAGTCATGCATTGCTTAAAGACAAAAATTGGGCTAGTGAGATGGTTCAGCAGGAAATGCACCAACACCAAGTCTAATAACCTGAATTTGATTCTCAGGATCCGTGTAATGGAGGAAGATAACCAACACCCCAATTTGTCATCTGATCTCCACTTCTGTAGTCACATGTGTGTGTATGCAAATATAATACACACAAAATCTTTTTTAAAGTACTGCAAAACAGACACAGGGCTACATTGCGTTTTATACTATACATTAGGTGATTTATCACGTAAACACTATAGACTACTTACACAAATCTAGATGGGACAGCTTATTTTATATCCTAGGCTATATAGTGTGAATGTGCATATGTATATGGAGGTGGGTGTTAGATATGAAGGAAAAGGTGAGACTAAATTAAACACAAAGGAAATTATTAACAAGAGATCCTGCAGATGCAAGATACACAATGCTGCTGTTAGAATAACCCAGCAAGCCAGGCAGTATGGAGCACACTTTTAATCCCGGCACCCGGGAGGAAGAGGCAGGTGGATTTCTGTGAGTTCGAGGTCAGCCTGGTCTACAAGAGCTAGTTCCAGGACAGGCTCCAAAGCTACAGAGAAACCCTGTCTGAAAAAACAAAAAAATAAAATAAAATAAAAATAAAATAAAATGATCAATGGAGGATCAATGTTCTGGATTAGTACTTCCCAACAAGCTTGAGAGCCTATGTCCTATCCCTGCAACTTATCCTGGAAGGAAAAAAATGGCTCCTCCTAGGTGTTCTCTGACCTCCATAAACATGCCATGGTACATCCCCCCCCCCCAATAAATAATGGTAAGACAACTAAAAGAACATATTAGAGTACTATACCAGGCTTTTATTATATGGCCAAGTAGTTGCTGGCAATGTGTTGGTAATTCAATTAAGAAAAATAAAGTTTCCAAAAGTAATATTGAAAACACCAACAGAATAAAGAATCTTGCTTATTCCTGATATCATATTTAAAAGTTAACTCTAGGGTCTGGAGAGAAGACTCAGTGATTAAGAGCACAAGTTTCTCTTCCAAAGGGACCCAGATTCAATTGCCAGCACCCACATGGTGGCTTACAAATATGTGTAATTGCAGTACCTAGAGGGGTTTGAAGTCCTTCTGATCTTTTTAGGCACCAAACATGTGTGGTGCACATACATGCATACAAGTAAAACATTCATACGCATAAAATAATAAATATTTAAAAAGTTAATTCAAAATGTTCAGATTTCTTTTAAAAAGTTTAAATTTCAGCCGGGTGGTGGTGGCGCACGCCTTTAATCCCAGCACTTGGGAGGCAGAGGCAGGCGGATCTCTGTGAGTTCGAGACCAGCCTCGTCTACAAGAGCTAGTTCCAGGACAGGCTCCAAAACCACAGAGAAACCCTGTCTAGAAAAACCAAAACCAAAAAAAAAAAAAGTTTAAATTTCCAGAACAAACAAAGGATAGCACTGTAATGACTCCTAAGATTGCCATCTTAAATTTAAAAGTTCATGCATTGAAGGTAAGAGAAGTGGAGAGGGGATGACCAACCAAGGAAGCACTCTGGATATCTAAATAAGAGCCCAAGTGAGACATTCTAAGTGAGACATTCCAAGGTAGGATCATAAAACTCCAGCAATGACTGATTTTCAAGTTAATGGTTTGTTCCTCTCACTTGGGATTTCTAAAGTCAATAACTATTGTCATCTATTTGAAAAATGTTTTCAACACATCAAACTTGAAAAACATCAAACTTGATAAATCAATTCTTAAATTCTGCACTGTAGACTCCATTTATTTGTTTGTTTGTTTATTTATTTATTCATTGTTTTTCGAGGCAGGGTTTCTCTGTAGCTTTGGAGCCTGTCCTGGAACTAGCTCTTGTAGACCAGGCTGGCCTCAAACTCACAGAGATCCGCCTGTCTCTGCCTCCCAAGTGCTGGGATTAAAGGAGTGCGCCACCACTGCCCCGCCCTTTTTTTTTAACATTCAAATGAGGAAAGGTAGCCTTCCATGAGGTCAGCAAATAGACAATCACAGCAAAATAGAAAATAAAAAGGGGGCCAGCAAGATGGCTCAGTAGGTAAGCCTGACAATGTGAGCTTAATCCACACAGTAGGAGAGAACTGTCTCCTGCAGGTTGTTCTCTGAGCTTCACAAACCTACTGTGGTATGTATGCACCCATAGATTTACAAACACATACAATAAGAATAAATAAATATAAGAATAAATAAAAATAAGTAAATAAAATATGTTGACTATGGACTATGTAAAATTCTGATGAATTATTATGCTCAATACAAGATAGCAGTTGGTTATCACAACTATCTTTCCTGATTTACCAATGATTCTGTAACATACCTTTCCAAATCACAGCATTCATTAATTCATTATAACAATAACTTTACAATCAGATGATGAATTTTTTCAAATGAGCTCATGCTTACAATTTTGTTTCCTAACTTAGAAATGCCTACATGCCTGTTGTGTGTCTGTTTAAGTGGCTCTGTCTACTGTGAAGAAGTTGACATTGATGCTGTGCCACCATTGCCAAAGGAATCAGCTTATCTTTATGCACGATTCAACAAAATTAAAAAGCTGACCGCCAAAGATTTTGCAGATATGCGTAAGTTTAAAATATAAAAGCACAAATTTCTGTTTTTCACTTGCTATATTAAGTCAGCACTATTGAAGCATTCACGTATACTACATACACTTCAAAAAAAACAATCTTTTTCTTACTAAAAGAATCTTCTTTTTATACAGACTTCTGTGATCATTCCTTTTTTAAAAAATATTTATTTATTTATTTATTTATTATACAATATTCTGTCTGTGTGTATGCCTGCAGGCCAGAAGAGGGCACCAGACCTCATTACAGATGGTTGTGAGCCACCATGTGGTTGCTGGGAATTGGACTCAGGACCTTTGGAAGAGCAGGCAATGCTCTTAACCTCTGAGCCATCTCTCCCACCCATGTGATCATTCTTTACTGTTGATTTTGCTATTCCATCTAACATAGGTATCATCTTAAGACCAATACTTCAAAATACACATTATCTTAGGCAGTACATAGTACCAGCATGACCAGGAAGCTTCTCCAACTGACTAGACACTTTTCCACTTTTACCATAAATACACAAGCGGCTTTTATTTTCCTTTTCTATTGTTTATTTATTTATGTATTTATTTATTTTTATTGTTTTGTTCTACTTGGGATCTCATTTCCCATGTGCTAGAATTACATGGGAAAAGTTCCTTTTCTTCAACTTATAACCTTTCCTTCCTTCCTTCCTTCCTTCCTTCCTTCCTTCCTTCCTTTTTTCTTTTTCCCCAGACAGGGTTTCTGGACCTTGTTCTGGAACTCACTTTGTAGACCAGACTGGCCTTGAATTCAAAGATCTGTCTGCCTCTGCCTCTCAAGTGCTGGGATTAAAGACATGCACCAACCACCACTGCCTGACCTAATTTATAACTTTTAAACCTTGCTACATATTTAAAAATATCTGGAAAGGAAGCTGGAGAAATGGCTCAGTGTTTAAGAGCATTTGCTGCTCTCTCTGTTTGATCCTCAGAACCCTATATCAGGCAGTTTACAACTACCTGCAACTCCTGCTCCAGGGTATTTGATACCATTGCCTGGACACTTCATAGGCACCTGCACTCACACATGACTTACCCACACACAGATAAACATGTGTACATAATAATTAACAATCTTTAAAAAAAATCTGGAGAACAAATTTTTAAAATACTAATACCCCATGAAATGCAACCACATTCCTTGGATGATTCAACAGAAACGGTTCTGAAACAGTCATGTTTAACTTTTTCTCGGATCATTAGTAATCAGCTTCTTGGCTTTCTAATAAAATTTAACTGGACTAAGGTATTGTGGTCAGCATATTATTAATACCTCAGGTTCAATCTCCAGCACCTCATGAAAGCACAGCTGGAATTACACAGTATCAGGCTATAGGTTAGAGTACCAATACTGCAAGATGAATTTGACTGAGTTACTAACTGCAAATACTATCCTGGGCCTTGAACAGAAACTTTCCTCCAGTCTACATAATGAGATTCTAACATCTTATTTTTTATTTATTTCTGTCAAGCTAACTTAAGAAGACTTGATTTTACGGGAAATTTGATAGAAGACATAGAAGATAGTACTTTTTCAAAACTTTCTCTGTTGGAAGAACTTACACTTGCTGAAAACCAGCTAGTAAGACTTCCAGTTCTTCCTCTGAAGCTTACTTTATTTAATGCTAAGTACAACAAAATCAAGAGTAAAGGGATTAAAGCAAACACATTCAAAGTAAGTATTCCATGGCATGACAAAACACAATGTGAGTGATGATATTTTAAGTTTTTATTACATTTATTTATTGTGGGTATTTATTCATTTTGTGTGTGTGCACATACCAGGTATACCTGTAGAGGTCAAGGATAACTTTTGGAAGCTGTTTTTTCCTTCCACTTGTGGGTTCTGGTCATCAAGTTCCAACACGTGGAATGCAGGTCATCAAGCTTAGTAGCAAGAATGCTGACAGAGGAGGCATCTCACTGCCACAGTGATAATATTTTTTAATTGGTGCTTATTTTCCTCCCATTCTGCTCCTCTACTACTTTTGAGGTATATTTCTATTCAACAAGATAAGAAGTGAAGAGAGCTATAGCTGGCATTTACCCAGATCAATATTTCAGAACTTGGAACAAAAAGACAAACATTCCACAAAAGAACATTGGGTTAATGTGTGTTTATGTGTTGCAGAGGGGCTGGCAGCATAATTCGTGGTAGAAAGAATGCTTAGCATGCTTGAGGACCTAAGTTCACCCCAGCACCAAACATGATCAAATAAGCAAAACATGTATACCATACATGTATCATACAAAGACATAGAAATGGGTGTCTTCTGTCAATACAAAGGAACATTTTTATATTTAAAAGTAAACACTATTATCTCATTGTTTCAAAAAATTGTATTCTTCCTATTAACCAGGAATAACTGGTATCTTTTATATTTAACTTTGGTAGATAATATAGCAGTGTTCCTCAAAGAATAAATCAATAATTCCAAAAGAATGGAAATGCTCATGAAAATTGAAAAAAGTTATCACCCCAGTCCAGAACTTCCATAAATATGATATAATCACTCTCAGCCCTAGGCAGGGCAGAGAAGGTAACCTCAGGCAAAAACACGAGATGCTCAAGCTACTGCTGGCAGAAGACAACTTTATTCAAAAGGCAAGATGTGAGGTATGGTGGAGCATGATGGAGGAAAGAAGATCTATGCCTTTAAGGCTAGCATGGTCTACACAGCAAGTTCCAGTCAGCCAGGCTATCTAGTGAGACACTGTCTCAAAAATAAAAACAACAACAACAAGCACAGCAACAAAAGAGACACGATCTCACACACACGAAATTGCAACCACCCAGGAGCCTCAGGCAGGAGGATCTAAAGTTGAAGACCAGTTTAGGCAATGTCACAAGAGAATTCCTAATAGAAAAACCTAAACTAATGAAATTTTCATTTACGCTAGTTTATGTAATTATACAAGTTTGACATTTATCCACAACTGCCTGTTTAAAAAATATTTCCTAGCTAGTCGGTGGTGGCACAGGCCTTTAATCCCAGCACTCGGGAAACAGGCAGGCTGGTCTCTTGTGAGTTTGAGGACATCATGGTCTACAGAGCGAGTTCCAGTTCAGCCTGTTTCACAGAGAAACCCTGTCTTAAAAAACAAAACAAATAAAAAATATTTCTTTTTTCCTTATATTTATATTTCCTTATATTTCCTTACATTTTCCTTATATTTTATATTCAACATTATAGGGTTTGTTAGTTTTGTTTCTGTTTTTGTACTTACAGTATTTATCATTAAAAATTTATAACTGATAGCTACATAAAACTGTATAATACGTATGGTTAAGGCATTTTCAGAACATGGCAAGATGATCTAAAGAAGCAAACCCTTAACAGGGGCAGGGAAGTGTCTTTTGCACACTCATCTATACCCTTTGTGGTATAAGATAATACTGCTCAACCAGAAAATCTCGAAAAGAAGGCTGAATCAATGTAACCTTTGGGGGTCAGGCCAGGTAGTAGCATTTTTGGTATTCTGAAGGCTTCACACTTTTCTGTTGATTAGAACTGGATTCAGGAACAATGTTTGTAAATGTAAATACAAAGATATTTGGAGAAAAAGCTGATTTTTATACTATTAAAAATATCCAAAAGATTGATTTGCTGTTGATATCATAAGCAATGTTGGTGGTTTTGTTTTTAAATAAGGGATTCAGAAACTAAGGGTTCTTTACTGACTTTACAAAGCAGACTTGAAGATGGACATAGTGGTACACATACCTGTAGTTCCAACACATGAGAGGCTAAAAGTAGGAGGACTTTCAGTTTAAGGCCAACCTGGTCTATACTGTAAGGCCATGTCTCAAAATACAAACAACATAAAACCAGAGCAGACACACTTTCTAAAAACAAAATATAAATATACCTCGTGCGCTAGGTAAATGCTTCAGCATGTAAAGGCACTAGCCTGCAAATCCTGAACACCCAAGTTCCACATCACACATCTCCAATCTTTTAACTCTTAAAGTGAGTTGGGAAGAAGAGATAAGAAAATTAATAGACATTCATGGGCCACCTAGCCTGTGGTGCAGCATCAAACACAAGAAGAGCCTGCCTCAACAACCTGGAGGGGAGAAATGACTCCCAAGAGTTATCGTCTGACCTCTGCAAGCAGATGCACATGTGCACAAAAACACATGCGCCATTTTTAAATTTAATTTTGTAATTTAAAGAAATGAATTTAAGTAGGGGAGACTTTGAATAACTAGCAGTGACAGAATGTTTAGAGCAGGACATAGAGCAATTCCTTGTGGTCCAAGCTACTTGGAAAGGTAAGGCAAGAAGATTGCTTCACTAATAGGTGAAGGCCAGCCTGGGAAAGGTAGGACAACCATGCCCATCTCAGAAAAAGAAGGATGGAAGGAAGGAAAGAGTAAACAAAGAAAGGTAGATTTAAATATTCTGGATTTTAAAAAAGAATATTGTGCAAATTGGCATGAAAATGATAAATTTGTCTACTTTATTTAATACCTTATGGTTGCAATAACCCTAAGTACAGTATCAAGTTACTATAATTCAAATAAAAGCAGTCCCGGAAAGACAGTTGATGTTCATATGATGTAAAGGGAAAATGTTTATGAAAGAATTAAGGGGTGGGGAGATGGCTCAGTAGGTAAGGTGCTTGCTGTCAAGTTTGACAATCTGAGTTCAATCCCCAGGTCAAACAGGAAGCAGAAAATCAAATGCTGTGCGTTGTCCTCTAGCTTCGAATATGTGCACTATGGTTTATGTACACAAGCACATATATACATAAAATATTGAAGATTAAAAAAAGATAAAAGATTGAAATAATAGCATAGGAAAGAAGCAGCAGGCGGGGCATAGTAGATGTAATCCTAATATCTGAAAAGCTGAAGAGGGAGGATGGTAAGCTTCAGGGTAGTTTAAGATACATGGTAACCCCCCCCCCCATCATAAAATATGACATGGTAGCACAGGATGCATATAAAAATTAGGAGTAACGTCACAGAAAAATTACATTCTGAAATCATAGCATGCAATCATACATAGTAATGAGTTACTGATTATAAAGAATATTCCAACATAAACCCCTCACGGGAAAACATATGTCATGTTAAATTGCATGTTTGGCAAAATGCTTTGGGAAACGGCATCTTGTTAAGTACCATCTCTTAGGAGTAGCCATTTTTCTAGGAATATGTAAAACTTCTATGGAAAGTTCAGGAGTTGCAAAAAACTTGAAGGATTCAACTATCAGTCAACACACAGCTGCCCTCTAGACAAATATTAAGGGCTGAGTATTCCAGGATGAGATAAATGTCAGAAAAATGTGGAATATTCAATAGAGTGCTATTAGATATCATAATTTTTGAAAAACCAAAAACCCTATTCATGAGGCCAAAACCCAATAACAATCAAAGCAACAAAGTACCACTCCGAAGCTGATACTATTGAAACATACTACATCAATACTGTTTTTAAAGTATATATTATTTGAATAATATGAAGAATGCATAGACCTCAGTGACATTGAACTTTTTTTCTTTTAATAGAAACTGAATAAGCTCTCTTTCCTCTATTTGGACCATAATGATCTGGAATCTGTGCCTCCTAATTTACCAGAAAGTCTCCGTGTAATTCACCTTCAGGTACAACTGTTCTTTGTACAATAACTAGCTTTATTTAACTATGGGGCCATGTTTATTACTTAAGAAACTTATTTATATGTCAGTTATGGTTATAACACCAAAACAGTGTGACCACTTAATGTCTAGATAAGAATTTCAAGTCCAGGGCTGGAGAGATGGCTGGCTCACAATCATTCGAAATGAGAACTGGTGCCCTCTTCTGGCCTGCAGGCAGACATACAGGCATACTGTATACATTATAAACAAATAACTCTCATTTAAAAAAAAAAAAAAAAGAACTGCAGGTCCAATCCAGAGTACACTAAGTAGATCGATCGGTCTAGGAAGTATAAAGTCTGTTTAAGCAGAATACACCTTTCAGCACCTCCCAGTCTAAGTAAAGTTGAGGACTGACTACAAGGCCTTACCTAAAGCAGACAAGCATTCTATCACCAAGCATTCACATTTTTAATTTTTATTTATGGCAATATTCTGCTCCTTATTCCTCAGGCTGCCTGACTGGGGTGAGAAGGGGTGAGCATTAGGCATTCACTGTCTATATAACTGAAACTCTTGGATCTGAGGTACATGTTAAAGGCAAAACCATTGAGCATGACAGGTCACATAAGATGGGATGCCCATGTAGTGTTTTGTGGGTTTGTTTGCTTTGACATCCCCAGAAGAGGGGATTCCCTTGATGGTGACCACAATGAGGAAAATGAAGAAAACAACAGGCACATAAATAACCAAGCAGAACTGGAACATACAAAGGAACCACAACCACATTAGTAGAAATAGTGTTGTCTGTTCTAACAGGCCAAATTCAAGAGGTGAGTATCTTTGCTGACACACCTGTGACACATAATGTGCAGTGTTTTCTAAATACTAACCAATTCACCACCAGCAGCTGAGTATTCTAAAATTCAATTCTGATACCTCTGAGTCTATGGAGACCCCGTAAGTCCACGATTCAGTCTGATAACACTGTTCCCTTTGCAGGTACAGTATGAAGCATGTGTTGTTTTGTCTTATCCCTATATTGCAGTTTTCTAGAGTGGTCACTATGAGTTACCTCATTATTATAATTCCAAGTCCTGAAAGACACTTCTATCATCCAAGAAATTCTAAGTTCAATTTCTTTATGCCAAAATCTTCTGGGACCCAGGATTACTCTCGAGCTTTCTGTAGTGTGGTGGAGGCAGAAGGAAGGGACAGAAGCACAGAATAATGGAGGCGAAACAACCCGGGCAATCGGCCAGCAACTGACACAGGTGTTATGTATCTCCTAGTTACTCCGAACACAGATTTGAAGACCACTGATTTACGTTTCTTTCTCCAAAATAGTAGTAAACTCCAATTTCTGATTTATGTTTCTTTTTCCAACTAGTGGCAGACATGTACTTTTGGAGACATTTTATCTCATTTTACAGGACAGCATCAAGCGGGCATTGCAAAAGTGAAAAAAAGTGAAAAGGAGCAAAGGTTGATATCTCAGCATCACAAGAATCTCAACTTCTTTTCACCTCTTTAAGGAATATTCAAACACACTGTATCACTTTGAGTTAACACATTGGAATAGGATAGTTTCTTTAGCTTGCATGTTTCTATTTATATTCCAAACAGGACCGGACAGAAGCAATTTGGAAAAATAATGAGTAGACTGTTAATCCAAAGCAATACGGTACACTTAAAAATATGTTTAGGTTGCAAAAGAGAGTGTCATCACAGTGGACTAATATTTTTTAAATATTATCTCTAAAAGAAGATTCCATTTTAGGCAAAATATCCTGTGTAATCCTACTGTATAAAATACAAAAGGTTGATTTTAGATTTCTGAGTATTTTTTCTTTTATTTTTCAGTTTAACAGCATATCTTCAATTACAGATGATACATTCTGCAAGGCTAATGACACTCGTTACATCCGGGACCGAATTGAAGAGATTCGCCTGGAGGGCAATCCAATTGCTCTGGGAAAGCATCCAAACAGTTTCATTTGCTTAAAAAGATTACCTATAGGATCATACTTTTAAAAACCATCAATGTAGTGTATAATCTAAAGTAGTGCACCTAATGTCTTAAAGGAACATAAACATTAGCTTACTATTCTCATTTTATCTCACTATTGTAGAATTTTATGTTTAATCAATGATGTCCAAAATTCTTACATGTTTTTTTCTTACATGTTACTATAAAAATAATCCAGACTGAATCTCTTAGTTCAAAACAAAATGATATGAAACTAAACAACATTAATACCCCTTGTAGTTTACACTACACTACATCTAAACAGTGTCCTTTTATATAAACACTCACATAAGATCCACCATTCCCAAGACTAATGAAGTAAGAGAATGCCAAGAAACGCTGAAATGTTTGTCTTTCTTAACATTTATTGTATTTCAAAAGTATTTAAGGCGACGTTCCAAGAAACTGTGAAAAGCCAAATGTTCCAAGTGACCATCCATTGACTTTATGATTCATCAGCATTCTCCATGAAGCAGAAATCTTTTCTGTTACGGCAGCTATTTTATTGTATTTCTCATTTAGTCTAAGAAAAAGGGTAGCCACATCTAGGCAAAACTTTCCAGTAAAGTAAAATTTTACTCTTTGGTATAGAACCAATTTAGAAAAGTTCAGTTTTATGCTTTGTGATCACACAGATAGTCTTTAGTCAATTACTTAAAAAAAATTCTAAGAAAAAGAATCAAAATTCTACTCATTTTCTCGGAGAGTAATAAGAGCCCTTCACTCTAAAGATTCTAAAACATTAAATGAGTGTAAACTTTTCACAGTATAGGAAGGATTTCATCAATAAATTTGTTCAAATATAAGAAATTTAAATGAAGTCTATTGTGTTGTGCTGTACGTAGAGCTTCAGCTATACATATGTTCACTCAAACTGCACACTCACAATCCGCCCATGAGCACCACTTCTCAATGGCCATGATTTCCAGTTACATGGAACAGAGAAACCCAACCTTCTGTCTAACAGTGATGACTGAACAATGCAGATTAAAGTTCCTAAATTAACCCTCAGAGGAAGGTGCATATAGTACACTCACAAATATTAGTCTATATATTACTTTGGAGTTGAACATAAAATTAACAATGTTTTAGAAATAACTATCTTTTATATACAAAAGTACCACTATTAGGCTGGGCGATGGTGGCGCACGCCTTTAATCCCAGCACTCGGGAGGCAGAGGCAGGCGGATCTCTGTGAGTTTGAGACCAGCCTGGTCTACAGAGCTAGTTCCAGGACAGGCTCCAAAGCCACAGAGAAACCCTGTCTTGAAAAACCAAAAAAAAAAAATACTAATAAAATAAAAGGTACCACTATTATTTCCATTATTGGGTACACGTTAGAATCTGCATGCTTTTCCTAGAATACTCAAGCATTTGGTGTTTTGCCCCAATGCAGACTGACCCCTTCCTCTCTCATGTTACGGCTGACCCCAGACAAAACTTTTCATTAAAGCACTTGTGACCTATAAGGCAATACTGATTACTCTAATAATGTTTACTAGTTCATTCATTTTGATGTTAGTTATAGTAAATTTTTCCCACTGTGTCATTTTGCGTGCATGCCTCAGTTTCTCTGTGACTAAACACTCACTAGGATTACTGAAATACAGTTCTACCTTTTACACTTGTATGGTACCTAGTAGTACATTTGAATTAAATATGCAATAAACATTGTAAAATCTATCGAAATAGAAGGGTACTGCTTATATGGGAAAAAACAAACTAGTATAATCTAGAATAAATCAATGGAAATAGAGTGACAAGGCTGAGACAATGGGCGATATACAGGAACGTCCTTTAATTTAATGACTTTCAGAAGAAAAATATACTCATATACACATGCATACAAACACAGTTTGGTATTTTAGGGGTGTGTATTGTTCTGGGGTCTGAACACAGTGCCTTATACATTTTGGACAACACTATTGAACTCTATTCCCAGCCTTCTATATTATTTTTGTAATAGAATTTAATGAGAAAATACCATTAGATAATTATAATTTTTTTCAAAGTTAAAACTAATGGTTTGGATGAAATTTTCGGGAGAAAGAATATTGCCAAAAATTATAAATTATGGAATTTACTTAAATAACTTGGATTTTGAGTGAGACTACTTGAATATAGGTAGCTTATATCTTTGTTACACACCTTCGTACGGAAAAATAAAATAAAATCCAGAATGGACCGAGGAAAACAACACAAGTAAAATTATTCTTGATTCTACTCTATAATACAGATATTTCATTCTTGACAATTATAACTAAAGAAATAGTCTTAAAATTAAAAAAATCATAACAGGATTAGTGCTGTGGAATAACTTTTTTGTACACTGTGAAGATTTGTCACTTGAATTGGTTTAATAAAAAGCTGATTGGCCAGTAGCCAAGCAGGAATGGGCAGCACAACCAAACTAGGAGAATGATGGGAAGAAAGGGCAGAGTCAGGAGTTACTAAGAGACATAGGGGGAGCAAGACATACTGGAGGACAGGCAAAGCCACAACTCATGTGGAAATAAATAGATTAATAGAAATGTATTAATTTAAGTTGTAAGAGCTAGTTAGTCATAAGCCTGAGCTCTCAGCCAAGTATTTATAATTAATATAAACTTCAGTGTGTTTGAGAGCAGCTGTGAGACAGGAAAACCCACCTACAAACTGGTGATGTGGTTCAGAGGTTAAGAGAACCTACTGCTCTTGCATAGGACTCAAATTTAGTTCCAGCACTGACAACCCCAGTGTCAGGAACACCAATACCCACCTCCTTCTGGACTCAACTGGCAATGCACGCATGTGGCATACATACAAATGTGCAGCCAAAAATTCACATACACACTGGGCGGTGGTGGCACACACCTTTAATCCCAGCAATGGGGAGTCAGAGGCAGGCGGATCTCTGTGAGTTCGAGGCCAGCCTGGTCTACAAGAGCTAGTTCCAGGACAGGCTCCAAAGCTACAGAGAAATCCTGTCTTGAAAAACCAAAAACAAACAAACAAAAAAAACCAACAAACACATTCACATAAGATGAAAATGAGATATTTTAAAAATTATTTACACCTTACAAATATATAAAAATACATAAAAGCAAAAGACATATGTGGTGGTTTAAATAATAATAATTCCCATTGACATATATTAGAATGCTTAGTGAAACTGTTTTTTTTTTTGTTTTTTCGAGACAGGGTTTCTCTGTGGATTTGGAGCCTGTCCTGGAACTAGCTCTGTAGACCAGGCTAGTCTCGAACATACAGAGATCCGCCTGCCTCTGCCTCCCGAGTGATGAGATTAAAGGCGTGCGCCACCATTGCCCGGCTGAAACTGTTTTAAGAAGAATTAGGAGGTATGGTCTTGCTGGAGGAGTGTTGTCACTGGGGGTGACCTTTGAGGTTTCAAAAGCCCATGCTAGGCTAATTGTCTCTCTCAAGGCCTGCACCAGATGTGAGCTCACAACTACTCCAGCACCATGATGCTGGATAATGGGCCTGTTACCATTCTCTCTACCATGATATTGGACTTGCCCTCTGAAATGTAAGCAAGTCCCCAATTGAATGTTTCCTTCTATAAACTGGTCGTGGTGTCTCTTCACAGCAATAGAACACTAAGAAAACATACATAAAAGAATAGACACCTATGTTCGTGGATCTGGAAATGTTATATTATTAAGACAATAAAACAATCTCGAGATTCAATGAAATCCCTATGAAAGTATCAATGATTTTTTTTACAGAAGCATAAAAATAATCTACTCTAAAATTTATATGGATTATTTAAAACCCCATATAAACAAACAAAAAAATCTTGAAAAAGAAGCAAGAGAGTAGACTCATCTACTAACTTAAAGACTTATTATAAAAACACAATAACTCAAAGAGTATGTGTGCATGATATAAGAAATTAGAGAGCCCAGAAATAAATACATGTACACATACAAGAAAATATAACAAAATCATGAGAATTACTTGAAGGACTGCAGTATGGAAACTGCCCATGTTTCATTCTGGAGAAAGCCTTACACCTGACAAATTTTATTAAGTCAACCAAAGAGAATGCATTTAATAATAAGAAAAGAACTGAACCCAAATACAGGCAAATTAGTACTAATCTTTAAAATAACAGCCATAGGTTAGGCTTTTGAAGGACTAGAACCTTGAAATATTATTTACACTGATTCATTCAGGTTTTTGTGTGGCTGACAGCTGTTAATAACAATGCTATGGAAATAAGTAGGACCTGAGGGATTATAACACAACCAACTTTTGATTATGTCCCTAAACAATTTTTTGAAAAGCAGTCTTTAAGTATTTCCGTCAGACTTAAAACCATTACTTATGTACTAGAGATAAATCTTGATCCCACTGCCAGTGGCCCCACAAACTGCCCAAGCCACATAACTATCACCCACATTCAGAGGGCCGAATTTGGCCTTATGCAAGTTGGAGCCGGATACCTTGTTCAGCCTTGATACACTGGGGAGGGCTTTGGCTCTGCCTCATCATGATGTGACAGACTCTGTTGACTCCCCATGGGAGGCCTTACCCTCTCTGAGGAGTGGATGGGGGTTGGGGTGGGGAAAAGGTGGGGGCAGTGAGAGGAGAGGAGGGAGGGGGAACTGGCTTGGTATGTAAAATAGAAAAGATTGTTTTTTTTTTTTTAAAAAAAATTAAACAAGAAATAAAGAGCTGTGTAAAATCAAAATGAACAATGTTGCGGGAGATCCTTCCGCTCCTCCAGCCTATAGCCGCTGAGATACCAGCCCATTGGGGCGTGGTCTCTCTCCCTTTAAAAAAGCGGCCACTTCCCTCTCCTCTCTCTCTTCACTTATGGCCAGCGACTAGACTCCCTTCCTGGTTGCGCAGAGGGCTGTTGTCTGGGACGGTGATCTGTAAGTTTTTTCCCCTTTAAATAAATACCACCCTATTAATCATAATTCCAAACTGGTGTGGCATTGTTTGTGACTTACGCCTTCAGAACAAGCAAACAATTACTTCATAAAAATCAAGCGTCAATATTTATACTCAAGATGTGCAATAATACAGCAGCTTAAAGTAGTCTGACATAGAAATTACAATTATATTGCTTTGTGACAATATATAATAGGTTGTTTGAGGCAGAGTGTACATAGACTTGCTGGCCTGGAACTCACTATGTAGACCAAGCTGGCCTCAAACTCATCCTGACCTCCCTGCTCCTGCCTTATGAGTGTGGGGCTCAAATGCATGCACCACCACAGCAGGCACTATATATTCTTTACTAGCATTTCTTTTTGTTTTTTATGTACTCCTGAAAGGCTGAATTTTCAAAAATAAAATTCTCAATAAATTAACCATAGTGAATAGTCAAAATAATAAAAGTTCATAATATCAATTATCCATTGATTTATATAGAAACTTCTCACTCATTTATTACAAATAACTGCTAATTTATTAAACCAGTGACAATATTCTCCATTCTTTGAGATTTAAAGCACGTATGTAGTGCATACTATTAATCCCGGCACTAGAGAGGCAGAGCCAGGCAATGTCTGTGAGTTTGAAGCCAGTCTGGTCTACATAGTTCCATAATATCCAGACCCTGGATATTATAGTCTACATAGTCAGACCCTGTCTCAAAAAAGAACAAAAAAAGAAAGCAAACTATGAGTGTATCAACAAAATTAACACCAGCTTCATTTTCTACATATATTTAAATTTAAAATCTTCAGACTTTACCTTAAAATGCTTAAATGTGTTCTTACGATATTCATACCACTCCACAAAAAAATGTAGACTTCGGAAAAACATGAACAAATCTCTTTTTTCTTCTGCTCTGTAAGAGAAAGATGCTATGATTAATAACTAGAATGAAATGATAGGCTCACTTAACACTTATTTCTTATTTTTTATTAACGTGTTACACTAACACTAAAAATACCCTTGATGCCCTTCTATATGTTGATCCCTACACTTGTGTAAGTGTGTGTTCTGTGACAGCTAATGCTAATTGCCACCAACTACTATATTAGCCAGGAACGTCCTCAACTGTTTGAATCTATCCAACTTTCCAACCACTCAAAGGCCACATTCTCCAGGAAATCTTATTTGATGAATGCAAAATAATGTGCTTTCTGGAACAAAGTTTCCATCCCATACAAGTTCCTGAGTGAGAACCCTAGGCACAGAAGGCTGGGGCTGAATAGAAGAAAGGCCAATCACACATTAGAGGGTGGGAGCTCTGGGCTAGCAAGACTCCATGTGTGGAATACTGTAGGCATTTATATTCCCATAGCTCTTGGAATAGCTCTTGGTAGTATTCCCATTATCAATTATCATATGTTTATGATTTTAGTCATTTACTTCTTTGTAAGCTTTATTCATGATCCCTAAAAACAGTGGAACATCAGCATCAACTACCTTATCCCTGAAACACACTTCTCTGCTAAGGGAACAGAGAAGGTCCACTGCACTGGCCAGAATTAAAGTTAGCCTCTCCAAAATACACTGGGAACTAGGCAAGTTAGAATTATCTGTAAAGAAAAACTACTTTTCTGCATATACACTAAGTCAGCTGTTACTGGAATGCTAATCATACAAAGAGCAAAAGCCAGCTAATAATGCCAATATTTATGGCATCTAACCAATAAAATTTGGTTTTGTGATAAATGGTACAGAAAAGGAGCACTGT